TTGGCATCACTGATGCAGCAGGACATCACGTTCCCGTGCTCCAGCCACCGTGCAGCCGAAGCACACGGTGTCTCGGACAAACCGGTTTGACCTCCCTTTAGGAAACTTCCTCATTTACTATTGAAAGATTTCTTTTTTTTTTTTTTTTTTTTTTTTTCGTTTCAAAGATATCCCTCCTATGTCCTTCTCCCTCCTCATCCCTCTGTGGTCCATGCATCAGAGAGTGAGAGCAGTCCTGCCCTCTTCCCTCTGCAATCTGCCCGTCTCTGGGGCCGCATCCACCTGAGCCCACTTTTCCATTTGCCCCCCGTCCTCTGCTCTTCCCTGTCAGTCCATCTTTATGCTGGTGCTGGCACTCATCCTCAGCGAGGGTCTTTTTCCCAGAGTGGGAGAGTGTGGGCAGAGCCCGTTGGTGTTAATGGGATGAGGGAGAGCTTGGCTGCCTGACAGGAATTCCCAACTGCTTCCTCACATCTCAGGAAACCACCTGCATCCCCCAGCAAACGGTCCCTGCTCCAGCAGAAGCCACTTGAAAAGTTTTCCTGACCTCAGGAAAATCCCCGTGGCAATCAGTTCTCCATCCTCATGGCACTGATCCCAGCTCCAGGCTGTGCCAGACACCCCTAACTGCCAGGGGCTGGACATTCCCGGCAGGATCAGTTCCCGCCTGTAGCTCCGAGTTCCACAGCCATGTCTCAAAGCTTTCAGCATTGCCCAGGGATATTCAAGCTGTTCATTTTTTTCCCTGGTACATTTTTGGCACGGTCTGGGGCAGGAGCAGGAGGATGAGGATGGACCCACACGGATGCAGGTTGTGCCGTGCTACCTCCGAGGACCTGAAAACAAGGCTTGAACCCGATTTACTGCATGGATGTGAGCAGTGACTGCCTGGATTCCCCTTGGCTATTTGGGCTGGCAGGAGCCTGTGCTGCAGCCAAGCACATCCCAGAGAGGAAGAGCCACGGGGTTTTGGTTGCCTCCCAGGAGCTGCACCTGCTCCGCTCGCTCAGCAGGCTGTGATGCCCAGAGCGGGATCGCCCTGGGTGGGTGCGAGGACCAGGGAGGGAGGTGGGTCACCCTTGGGCAAGCCCTGCCAAAGCAGCGTCGTTCCTTGACTCACAGAGCCATCCATGAGTCAAAGCTCCCAGGTAACCGCTGCTGCTACGAGGAAGAGGAAGAGTCTGCGCTGCTCCACCCGCCCCACACCGGGCTGGCCGGGGCAGACCCAAAGCGCTGCTGACACCGTGGGAGGGGAGCTCTGAGGAAGCAGAGCTGCAGCCCAAGTGTGGAGCAACACAGGTGCTGCTGGCTGAGCAACAGCACCACAGCAGGGATGGAGCGAGGGAGGCTCCCCACATCCCGCTTCGGAGGCAGAGGCGGAGGCGGGATGGGCACACTCTGATATTTATAGAATTGTAGTATTGTTAAGGGTGGAAAAGCCCTGTAAGGTCATCAAGTCCAACCATTAACCAGTAAGTGTCCGTGGCTGGCCATGCTCCCTCTCGGATCGGCTGGCAAGGCCACCCCAGAGACCTCAAGTGAAAGGAGGGGGAAGGAAAGGCAAGGAACGGGGACACCCAGAAGTCAGGATGGATGAAGAAAGAGAAAAAGGGAAGAGCAAAGTGGGTTTTTTCCAGTGAAGGAGCTGGAGGAGGATGCTTGGATTGTGAAAGTGTCTGGGACCTGGCAGTGCTGTGCCATGGGAACTGGGACCAGAGGAGGGGATGGTCAGCAGGAGCCCACCTCTTCCTCTGCCCACCACATCTCCCACCCACAACACCTGCAGGATTGGCCTGGCCAGGCTGGTGAGGATGAAAGTCCCCTTGACCAGCAGACATGAGATATGGGGATAGATCAGAGAATCATGGAATCATTAAGGTTAGAAAAACCCTATAATATCATCCTCCCCCAGCACTACCAATGCCACCACTGACCCATGTCCCCAGGTGCCACATTCACATGGCTTTTAAATCTCTCCAGGGATGGGGACTCCACTGCTGCCCTGGGCAGCTGTGCCAGTGTTGGAGAGCCCTTTCCATGAAGAAATTTTCCCAATATCCAGCCTAAACCCCCCTGGCACAACTTGAGGCTGTTTCCTCCCAGTCCTGTCCCTTGTTCCCTGGGAGCAGAGCCCAACCCCCCCCCCCCCGGCTCCCCCCTCCTGTCAGGGAGTTGCAGAGCCAGAAGGTCCCCCCATGAGCCTCCTTTTCTCCAGGCTGAGACCTCCCAGCTCCCTCACCTGCTCCTGGTGCTCCAGACCCTTTCCCAGATCTGTTCCCTTCTCTGGACATGCTCCAGCCCTTCAATGTCTTTCTGTTCTTGCGGAGCTCAAAACCGAACACAGCAACCAGTTGAGGATCAGCATCTGGTTCCAGAGGGATTGAGAGTACTGGCATTCATGGTCCAGCACCACCACAGAGGAACAGAGAGGAGAAGGGAAAAGTCTCCCACCTTTTTAAGGGGACAGACCCACCTTCCCTGATCACCCCATCTCTGTAAGGTCTGGATGTGCAGCCGGGACGGATCGCAAATGCCTTCACTCATCCAGTAGGAAAAACCGGAATCCCCATGCATACCATGGAGTGTTATAAGCAGGAACACGGAGAAAGTGAGCAGTGTAGCTCCCTCCGTGGGCAGGGCGGGAATCAGAGCTTGGAGACACATCCCCACACCCTCAGTGGTCTGGGTTTGGGTGCCCCCACCCCACATCCTCACACTGCCAGCCCACGGGCAGGACGCTGCCCATCCAACCCTTCCCCTTCCACCAAAGGCAGCAGCAGCACTTCCCAAAGGGAAACTGAGGCAGGGAGGGTGGTGCATCACAGGAGCTGTTTTCTATAACTGGCAGCAGGTCCTGGGCATAAGGCAGAGCCCGTGAGCCCTGTGCCAGCACTGAGTCCTGATGGACACCGTGCGTTGCCCATGTCCAGAGGCAGAAGGCAGTTTGGGTATTTTTTCTCTCTTCCAAGGAAAAGGTGGATGAGAGGCTGGAAATGAGGCAGTGATGTGCACTCACAGCCCAGCCCCCTCTATGCCATGGGCTGATACCCCTGCGTGGCCAGCCAGGGAGGGGGGATCTGCCAGAGTGGGGGACCTGCCAGAGGGCAGGTATAGATGGGATATTGGGAAGAAGAAACCCTTGGCTGTGAGGGTGGGGAGGCCCTGGCACAGGTTGCCCAGAGAAGCTGTGGCTGCCCTTGGATCCCTGGAAGTGTCCAAGGCCAGGTGGGATGGAGCTTGGAGCAACCTGGGCTAGTGGAAGGTGTCCCTGCCCGTGGCAGGGGAATTGGAATGAGATGACCTTTAAAGGTGCCTTCCCACCCAAACAGTTCCATGGCTCTGTCTGTGTCAAGGACAAACCAAATGCCGGCTTGAAGCACTTCCCTTCCCCCCCAGCTTTGGCTCCGGGCTTTGCCGGGGTGCCCAGGGCTCGTCAGCGTGGGAGGAATGGCAGAACTTGATCTCCGAGTGCATTTGCTTCCCAAATTCCTCCCGTCAGCTGCCGGCAGTGGGTCCCCGTGGGGCCCCGGCTCCGCAGCCTCTTCCCAACCCCAGGACTCCCGGCTACAGGCACCTCCAGCGTGTCCAGGCAAATCCCTCCCCTGCGGAGCGGGGATTCCCACAGCGGGAATAAGGCTTCACCCAGCGAAAACATCCCGCAGATCGGCTCCCTGCCTCATCTCATCGCTCAGGAATCCCGAGGTCAGGAAAGGCCGGCGAGTCCTCCCGCGGCACCGCGGCAGGCCGGGAGCGTGGGATGCTCGTCCCAATGTCCCTGTTGTCACAGCGCGGGATGCTCATCCCAGTGTCCCTGTTGTCACAGCGCGGGATGCTCATCCCAGTGTTCCTGCTGTCACAGCGCCCGGGAGCGCGGGATGCTCGTCCCAATGTCCCTGTTGTCACAGCACCCAGTGTCCTGTCCCCACTGCCACCTCATGCCCCCAATGTCATCTCCTGTCCCCACTGCCACCTCATGCCCCCAATGTCATCTCCTGTCCCCACCGCCCTTGTTCCCACAGTCATCCCGTGTCCCCATATCACTCCCTGTCCCCAGTGCCACCGCCCCGTCCCCACAGTCACCTCAAGTCCCCACTACACCATCTGCCCGCCCCCAGTGCCACCCTCTGCCCAGTGTCACTGCATGTCCCCTGCAGTCACTCCCTGCCCCATCACCTATAAACTGTCCTTGTCCCACCCTGTCCCCCTGTCACCCCGTTTCACCTCCCCCCCGTCTTCCCGTGTCAGCCCCTCCCCTGTCAATCCCTGTCACCCCTCTCCCGTCACCTCCCCGGTTCCAGGCCATCCCCTTGTCACTCTGTCACCCCGTCACTTCTCCCTGTTCCTCCCGTCCCCCTGTCACCCCGTTACCCGCCTCCCCTGCCACCTCTCCCTGTCCCCTCCCGTCTCCCCGTGCCACCCCCTTCTCTTGTCACCTCCTCCGTCTCACTCTGTCCCCCTGCCCCCGGTGTCCCCCCTACCTGACCATCCCGTCGCGCTGTCACCCCGTTACACCCCCCCATCACCTCCCTTGTCCCCCGTGTCCCCCGTGTCCCCTCTCTCCCGTGTCCCCCCCGCCCTCGGTGCCCCCTCTCCCGTCCCTCCGTCACCCCCGTCCCTTGGCCCCGCCCCCCGCTCTTGGCCCCGCCCCTCCCGGTGCCGTTAACCCCGCCCTCCCTGTCCCGCGCATGCGCAGCGGCCGCGGCGAAGCCGTGCCCGGCGGCGGGCGGGGCGGGGCGGCTCCATCCGGGTCCTGCCCGGGCCGGGCCGGGCGGTGCGGGCGGCGCGAGCCCCGGCGGGACAGCGCGGCGGCGGGTGAGTGCGGGGGGGAGGGAGCCCCCTGGGGGGCCGGAGGACCGGGACCCCCCCCCGGGGACCCCCTCTGTGTGGGGTGGGACCCCCTCCTTGTGCCTTGTTCTGGTGGGGAAGGGACACCCCCTCTCCATCCTCCCCCTGTGGGCTGGGACCCCTCCCCGTGCCTTGTTCTGGTGGGGAAGGGCACCTTCTTTATCCCCTCTTTGGGCAGGACCCTCTCCCCGTGCACCCCTCTGTGGAGCAGGGTCCCTTCCCCATCCCCACTGTGGGGTGGGACCTCTCCCTGTGCCGTGTTCTGTGGGGAAGGGACCCCTCTCCAGCCCCTCTGTGGGGCTGGGACGCCCCCAGTGCCTCGTTCTGTGGGGTTGGGTCCCTTCTCCGGCGTCCCTGTGGGTCTGGGATCTCTCCCTGTGCCTCGTTCTGTGGGGAAGGGCACCTTCTCCGTCCCCTCTTTGGGCAGGTCCCTCTTTCTGTGCCGTGTTCTGTGGGACGGGGCTCCTCCTCCAACCCCCGCCGTGAAGCCGGGACCCTTCCCTGAGCCTTGTTCTGAGGGGAAAGGTCCCTTCTCTATGGTGTGCTTGTTCTGGGGGCTGGGACCCCCTCTGGAGCCCTGTGGGTCTGAGACCTCTCTCCCTGTGCCTTGTTCTGAGGGGAAGGGTCCCTCCTCCATCCCCTCTTTGGGCAGGACCCCTCTCCCCGTGCCTTGGCCTGTGAGGCTGTGATGTGTCCCGGTGCCCTGTTCTGTGGGGAAGGGTCCCTTCTCCATCCCCTCTGCGGGATGGGACCCCTCTCTGTGCCTCGTTCTGTGGGACGCGGCTCCTCCTCCGTTCCCGCTGTGGGGCAGAGGCACCCCCTCCTCATCAGGGGGTCAGGTTGTTCTCCCTCTCTGCTCCACATTCCCATGGGACAGGGATCCCCCAAAGGGCAATGGAGCAGCCCCCCATGTCCCTGCAGACCCCTCAAGGGAGACCCTCAGGGGGTGCCCGGGCGGTGCCTTTGGGGTGTCTGATAGCACTGCAGGGGTGCCATAAGGTCCCCTCTGTGGGGCGCAGGACAGTCCAGAGCAGGGGACAGCAGGGACTGGGCCACAGGCTGGGATCACATCCCCCAGGAGGGGGCTGGGGTGGCACAAAGGGACAGGGACGTGTCCCCACCTGTCCTGCCTGGACCCCCTGGATGAGGGGGAGCTCTCGGGGGTCCCACGCTCCACTCAGTCCCCGGGTCACCTCTGCTCCTGGTAGCAGCTGGCTGGGAATCAGACACGTCCCTTTGCTTTCCCGGGGCCGAGACAGGCGGGTTTCTTCAGCTTTAAAAAAGAAAAAAAAAAAAAAAGACATAAACCAACACCCAGAAATGGGAAAAGCTGCTTTTTTGGAGTTACACGGGGGCTGCTGTTCCTGCCGTGCCGGCACGTCCGAGCCCTCCCAGCACCCGCCGCTTTGGCAGGGGACGTGCGTGGGTCGCTGGGGACTGAAAACCGGCGGGTAAAAATGCACCTCCTGCGGTTTTGTGTGATATTTGTTTAGTTCAGCCTGTCTTTGTCTCGGCCGGGGTGCCCGGCGGAGAGCGCACACACACACACATGGCTCTGGTCACCCCCCGAGCGCCGCCGGCTCCGTGGGATGTGCCAGCGTGTGTGTCCGGGGGTTGTTTCCCCCCCTCCCCTTCCCGTGCACACCTTTGGCAGGAGGTTTTGGATGACATCTTGCTCTGGCACGCTCCTCGCCTTTGATCTCCAGTTTCCTGCCATGGATAACGTGTTCGGCAACACGCGAGCCCGGCTCCGCAGCTGCCGGGGAGGGCGATGCGGGTGCCTCCGCGTCCCGGTTTTTCCCCAGCTGACTCCTGCCTGCAGCTCCCGGCTCTCCTTTGTCTGGTGTGCCGCCAGGACGGGCTCTCACAGCCCGAGGATGCTCTGAACGGAGCAAAGCCGAGCACAACCACCCCCCACTCCCATCCCTTTGTTTCCAGGCGTTTGCGGGCTCAGCTGGTTTGATGCGGCGTTTCGTGTGCCCAGGCAGATAAACCGACTACTCAATGTCTTTCCTCTTTTTTTTTTTTTTTTTTTTTTTTTTTTTGTTCTGAGTTATTTCGGGTGATTTAGTTTGCAGGGAACATATCCCAGCTGCAGGCTGTGCCGGAGGGATGCGGCAGCTTCCTAGAACGGGGTGAATTCACCAGAAGTGTAAGTGGAACATCTCGTGGTTGTCCTCTGGTGTCCTCCTTGGGTGAGCAGAGCCATAAGCTCTCGGCACCACGCTAAAATCCGGGATCACCAGCCCTTTTCCTGGAGAACTTTGACCCCGGTTTGCATGACTGGGGCTTTGGGGATGGGGAGCACAGGGGAAGGTGAACAAAACCCAGGTCCAGGCTCGGCCCCGATGGCTGAAATCAGCCTTTAATTTTTTATCCTTGACTTGATAGAAAGCAAAATACAAGTTTTAATATCATTATCATTATTTTTTAGATTCCTACTGCAGTTTTATTTCCCTTAGGAGTCGGGTGTGATAGCGAAACCATCACCTGAATTTGTTTGAATGCTTTTTTTTTTTTTTATGACAGGTGTACACAGAGCACTTTGAGCGTGTCAAACAGCCCCTGAGTAAATCAGGTTGTTTGCTCTATTACTTTATTCATACAGGTTCGATGCTCCGGCTGATGCATCTGAAGTGCTGTGCCATCTGGAGCAAAAATTAAATACTAATTTGGCCCCTGGCCTGGAAAAATAACAACCCTGTGCCCCACTAATAACTGGCAGTGGAAGGATAGAGCCCCTGACAGAAGAACTGTTTGGGGGCAATGTGGAAGGAGCCCAAAATGCACTAATTGAGGTATTTAAAACATATTAAAAAAGGGAAAATCATGCTCCCAGCCCTGCGTGCCGGAAGCAGGCAGGAGGGATGATGTGATCCCATTACCAAGTCATGGGGCTGATGCCCACAGGTGACATCCTGGTCCTGAGTGGATGGTGGAGCTGCTGGAGGTAGGTGTGGTGGTGATCTTCCTCATCTCCCAGTCTTGCTGCTGAAGGAAACCCCCTCCACAACCTCCCAGAGCTCTGCTCCACCACCTGCTCAGCTCAGGCTTGTGTATTTTTGTTGCCTGGTAAAAGTTTACACCAAGGCTGTCGCATCCCAAGGATGGATTCCTTCTCCTTTCCATCTGAGTTGGACATTCCAGGTCTGCTGGGTGGGTCACTGGTGTTGCTGTTTGGTCAAAGGCTGTTTCAGATTTGGAGGGACAAGTTGTGCAGGTGGGTCAGCTGTGCTGGGACCTCTCGCTTGTGCAGCTTGGGCTCAGATCCACTCAGCTCCAGGTGTAACTGGAGATACCTGTGATGGACCAGCTGTCAAGGATACCTTGGGCTCAGCGTGCTCTGGATGTTCTGGGATCTGTCAGAGCTTCAAAGTGTGCCAAATGGAAATAAGAGGGTGACTGCTGGTTGCTGCCACTGTTCTTGGCCAGAGGGTGGTCCTGGCCATGTCCTTGGGGACAGGCAGAGATGGGGAGGAGGAGGAGGATTCCACAGCAAGAAAGTGGCAGAGCTGCTCCAGACTGAAACTGAACCAAGCCTGGAGGTTCTACCCAAGAAGGACTGACTTCCAGGACTGCTCTCCTGGACTAAATGATGTGTGGGATGATAGGACACCTGGCTTTGCTGAGAGGGCTTTTGTGCTTATGGACCATCTCTCCAGGTGTTTCCCCTTGGGTCACCCTTCCCAGCGACCTGCTGTCACCTTCACTTTGGCTGTGTGGCAGAAGATGTGTTGTGAGTGATTCACTCACAGCCATAAAACACCACATGGATGTGGAAGGGGTGGAGGGAGGCACGGCTGGTGTTCATCTCTTCCACTCCCCCTGTCACCACCTGGAACCTTCTACCTTGGGATGACATGGCTGAGACAAGGTCCTTTGCCACTGGATCAGGGCCCTGCTGCACAGTAAACCCAAGCAACTCCATCCCTCGGGCCACGGCAGGAGGTGCAGGTCCTTCTGGTGGTCCTCAGCCACCTTGGAATATCGGTGTGGAAGCCTGCAGGGCGTTTCTTTGGGCCTTGAAGCTCCCCTGGTCTCGGTGGTGGTTGGTGTGGCTGAGCTGTGTTAGTTTATTTCTGTTTCCTGCAATCAGTAAAGCCGAGTGTTGTTGACACAAGATAAGATCGACAGGCACAGACGAACCTTCCCTGTCCCTGTTACCCTGGAACCGCTCAGAGTCGGGCTGGGAGTGGCCGTCCTGCCCGTGTCCCCACCCCGACTCGCTGACAGGGCGCTGAAGTGGCATCAGTGATGACGTGATGTGGGGCTTATCTGCAGGTGAGCCCAGTCATCGCCTGAGCCTGGCAGGTGCCCTGGCTTGGGTGAGAAACGCCAGTGATCCCATGGAAAACGCGCTCCAGGAGAGGATCCACAGCCACGGGCAGTGGTGATTTCCTTCCTGACTTGAGGAGTGGGAAAGACTTGGCGTCTCCAGGGGCGGTGCATTGTTCCTCCGTGCCAGGATGCAGCTGGACCCACCAGGGATGGAGATGCATTGGTTTTGGATGCCTTTCCCTGCTGGAGCAATAACGTGGGCCATCCAAAGTGGTGTTTTTCTGCCTGTCTGGCACATTTAAACTCCACCAAAACGCAAAACCAAACCCACGTCCCGCTCACAAGCGGATGCAGTGCCGGAGGGATGGCAAGGGGAGACAAGAGGCCGGCCTGGCCTGGGTGCTCCAAGAGAAGTAAAAAGCCCCAACAGCAATGCATGGATGGGCAGCCAGGAGCTCATGGACCAAATTAGCTGCAAGCAGCTGCCTCAGCGTAGCCGAAGGCTGACGGGTCTCAGGTTGCTCCGATGCTGGAGCTAAAGCTGGATCTGCCTGTGGAAAAAGCGGGAGAGATGCTGAGAATCAGGAGGAGGAGCAAGGGCTGGGCTGTGGGAAGCCCAGGCAGGAAAGTCCTGCTTTTTTTGCTCCAACTCTGGGACTGTGAATGTGAGAAGCAAGCAGGAATGACTTCTCTGGGTTTATTTTGGCTTTTTTATTTTTTTTTTTATTGTGTGTGGGTTTACATGATACCAGGGCTGCTGGCAACAGGTGGGGTACCCCTGGCTCCAAGAGGGAAAAGGATCTTTGTGCTGGATAATCCTGTTTGAGGGATAGTGTACTAGCCAGGTCCTTTGGTCTCCCTTCTCCGTGGAGGGGGTGGATGGAGATCCATGTGCAGCACAGGCACAAGGGTCATCGGTGTGTTGGAAAACATGGAAGCGACCGAGAATGGTCAAATAGGAATGGGGACTTATCCTGTGAAAAAGTGTTGGGATTGATAAGCCAGCTGAAGTGCATCTGCACCAATGCCCACGGCGTGGGCACCAAGAGGAGGAGCTGGAAGCCACTGGGCATCAGGAAAGCTGTGACGCGGTTGCTGTCACAGAGACACGTGGCATTGACTCACACAGCTGGATTGCTGCAGTGGATGGGGATAGACTTTCCATCATTCACCAGCAGCCCTGGCTAACTGGGGAGGTCCCAGCTGACTAGAAGTGAGTAGATGTGACACTCTGCCACAAGAAGGGCTGGAAGGAGGATTTGTGGAACTACAAGGCTGTCAGTCCTGTGACAGGAGCAGATCACCCTGAGCCATCACGTACGGGACAACCAGGGGATCAGGCACAGCCAGCCTGGGTTTGGCACAGGCAGGTCCTGCCTGACCAACCTGATCTTCTATGACAAGGTGACCTGCTTGGTGGATGAGGGAGAGGCCGTGGGTGTGTCTACCTGGACTTTGGTAAAGCCTTTGACGCCACTTCTTCATGGAAAGGGTTGTCCAGCCCTGGCGCAGGCTGTCCGGGCCAGTGGTGAAGTCACCACCCCTGGAGGGGTTTAAAACCCGTGTGGACGTGACACCTGGGGACTGTGGTTTAGCAGTGGCCTTAGCAGTGCTGGGCTAGCAGTTGGGACTCGATGGCCTTAGAGGGCTTTTCCGACCTAAACGATTCCATGATTCTGTGATTTTATTATCCCCTCGGAGGATTAATCTCGCCGCTAATGCAGCTTTTCACTTGCAAAGCGCCTTAAGAGGAAACGGCGCCAGGAGAGCTGTTTGGAGAGAGAAACTGAAAGTGCTGAGCAGGAGGCAGCTGCCCTCCCGTTCCAGCCGTGCCGCTATCGCTCTCCCTGCCTGTGGAATAGCAGTGGTTTTCCCAGCTTCTTGGCTCACAGGAGTATCTCAGGGAAAAATATAAGAGCTCCGTGGCCGTGCAGCTTTCCCAGGAGTGGGAGCAGGGGGTTTCCAGCTCTCCAGTCGGTCCGTTTGAATCCAGGAAGAGCAGCCTAGCAGGTAAGAAAGTGGGAGAAGCCGAATGCCCCATCCGAACTGGGATGGGAGGGAGCGGAGCGTCCCACCTGACAGCTTCCAGCTCCAACAAATCTGCCCGGCCGTCCTGCCTCCCTCCCACCGGGCTCTCGGAATTAAATCGCCGGCGTATCGTAAGGATCAAATTAAACTTCTCTCCACGCAGAGCTTTGTCTCGAGCAGGCAAATATTTCCGCGGCGCTTTAACGACTCTCGTTTTCCTATTGTTCCCTATAAAAACCCGTCGCCAGGCTGGGCTTCCCCCGGGGCGATTTCCTGGCTCAGTTTTAAACGCAGCTGCGGGCTTGGGGTTTTTCTTTCGCTTTTCAACTGAGAAGTGCCGGATTAAGACCCGACATCTCTCTCTCTCGGAGTGTGAGATAAAAGGCGAGGCTTTTGGAGGCTGTGAGAGTGGTGGCCATCCAAAGTGGCACGGGATTGTGCGGCGTTGGGTGGGTTTGTGGCTGAATAAACCGAGATGAGGTGGAGCCCGCCTGCTGGAAGCTCTTGTGGTTGGATGTCTGTCAGCTGAGCCCTTCACCCCGGCCTCGCTTGCCGTTCACACCAAAACGCCCTCAGGTGTTTAGGGGCGGCACTTCGGGAGTAAAAGCAGGAAAAATGGATAATTTCCTTGTCTGCTGCTTTGCCGGGGTGGGGGAGGGGGTTGGAGTTGTCGTGTGCTTCTGACGGCTCTTGGGGCTTCCTCTTTGTATCCTCCTCCTCTTTCTCCGGTCTCCTGCAGTATCTTCCCCATGCACCTGCCATTGATGCAGCAGGAGGAACGAGTCAGGAGGGTGATGGGAAAGGGCTAGGATGTGTTGCAGCCAGGTGAGGGGGATGGAGCTGGAGACAAGCCTGGCATCAAGTGGTTTGTTCCAGCTTTGGATGCTAAAGCTCCAAGCAGGAATGTTGCTGGGAGTTAGGAACTGGAATTCATGGGGATGGTGAGTGTTTTCCCAAAGCCAAGCGGGTGTTGTCTGTGCCTAAGGACTAAAAATTATATGGTACTCCATAAAAATGGGCTGGAGAAGAGGGATTCTGCTGCTGTCCCATCAGGCACCTCCAAAAGGAGTGTTTCTAACAGAGGTGATGTGATTGAGTCCTGGTTTACACTGAAGTTGGAAGTTGAATCTCTTTAGGTTTCTTTTTTGGATGGAATTTAAAAGAGGAAAGAAGGAAGTGCTAACAAAAGTTTAGTTTCTTTCTTAGAAAACATCTGTTCTGTAACAAGAGTGGCTTTTCCTCATCAGGATCCCCTGAATCCTTTCTGCCTCCTTTAGGTTTGATTTATCTCTGCTATTGATGTTCTAAACCAGAACATCCAACTTAGGAGCAAACCGTGCTTGGTCTCAAAACCCAGGTTGCATGTTGCCTGCTTCATCTTCTAAATCAATTAATTTATTCTTTAGTATTATGAATTATTCACTGTGAGGGTAGCAGCAGATCCCAGACTATTTCCATGAGGATACTGTGTTATATTTTCCTGTCTTATCAACCTGAGACCTTTCTGCAAAGCCATGCAGATGGATGCTGCTGCCAGGCTGGGCACAACTTAGGTTTTGTGTGAAATACCCACTTTGCTGCTCAGAAATTTGCCCTCTTTTTTCCTTATCATTAAAATAATGTTTTCCTAAGCCAGAGCAGAACAAGTCAGGAGTTTGTGGCGGATTTTTTTTTAAGCTGGAGCATCATTCCCATAAGATTGGACCTCAAAGATGGGTTGTGATGCCCTGGCAGGTTGTTTGTCGGGATGGGATCCTCCCCTTAGGCTGCTCTGGGTGGGCTGACCAGGCTTGCCTTGGATACCCACATCGCTCCAGACAACCCTCAGTGACGCTGTGCTGGAAATTCCCCTCTTCCACCCCAAAACCAGCCCCGATTTCTCCATGAGGCCTCGCCGTGTGGCAGCCGTCTCTGCGGGCTGCTCGCTGCTTTTGTTTACATCTGGTGGAAAACTTCTTAAATTTCCTGGCAAGGGAGTAATTCTAATCCCTTTCAATGAGATCAACGGATTAGTGTCTCAGATGCTTATAAAATTGTGAGGATTAGCCGAGCCTCCCCCCGTTTTCTTTCTATGCCACGTAACATCATCGCCGCGTTTTGGGAGGGGGATCTCGCTGCTGTTACCAGGAGCTCAACCGATTTCTTGGAGCCTTTGCGAATCAAAACGCTTAAACCCCAATGTCTTCATCCTCTCCCTCGCTCCATCTGGATTTTTGTGCAATATTAGGGTGTTTTTCTCTTTTCTTCCAGCATCCCTGGCACCGAACCGCGGTAGCCGCTCGGCAGATACGTTGGGTTTGCGTGGCTTGGCTGCGTTGCGGCGCCCGTGCGGGTAAGTTGGGAGCTGAGCCCGAAGCTTTCCTTGGTTAGAGACTTGCAAAATCACATCTTGAGAGGATCAGATCCCCGAAACGACGTTCTTTCATGAGGTTGCCCCTTATTTCAAAGGATTTGGGTTTTTGTGGTCCATCCCCAGAGGGGAACGGCGCTTCTGGGCCGACGGGATGCTCTCACCCCGGCTTTTGGGAGCGACAGGAGCGGGATGAAACTCCACACACCCACATTCCTGCATCCTCTTAATTACAACCTGTGCTTTCATTAGGAGTGATCCCTAACCAGCTGGAAAGGAGGGAGGGTTTGGTTCAAACCCTGTCGCTCCGTGCCTTTCCCCGCAGGGTGTTTTTTCAACACCGTTTCTGCCGGGTCGGTGGCTGCGCGGTCGCTTGACCCGTGTGAGCAAAGTGATCCCGAGCTGCCGAGTGGTGGGAGCTCCGAGCCAGGAATTCCTGGCCCCGGCCCAGTATAGTTTCAGAGGCGAGCTTTTAAATATATACAAAGACAAGCTCATAATTTCCACTCTACTAATGAGGCCACGGCGCTTTCATTGAAATGTGCCAATAGCTGCCGCGGTGGTATTTTAGCAGCCTTGTACTGTGAATCCAAATGTGATTTAACATGGCAGCCCCCACAGAGCAGAGGAAAACTGGCTTCTCCCGCTGAATTTCAATGATGCTGCTTGGCAGTGCTTCCCGAAAATCCCCTTGGTGGTGGGACCTTCCCTTGTGTTTCGTCTCAACACGGCTTTTCCCCTTGGTGAAGATGGGCAAGGGTAGGAAAGAGGTATAATGATATTTCAGAAAGGTAAGGTCTTTAAGTCAAGACTGGGTTTAAAAGATGTGTGGCTTGTTGGTTGGTGCGAGGCAGAGATTTAATAACCAGGCTGGCAGGAAATATCATTAGATCATAGTAAAAAACCTGAATGTGAGGGCTCTCAGACATCATGTTCTCTCTTGACCTTTAAAAAGCCACTTGAAGCCGCCAGCCTGCTCGTTGCTAAGCCCCCTCTTTAGTGCCACTCATATATTTTCCCTTCTAGGAGACGATTCAGTGCCTGGGAATTTGTGGAGGTCTGACACTAAACTCTTACACGCCTGAAATTCCCGCTGGTGTTTTTTTATCTTTGTAGCTTTGAAGCTGTTTGGAAAATATTTAGCAGGGTTTGTTCAGTCGGCTGCAAGAAAAAGGTAAATTTTGAGCAACTTCCTCAGAAGTTGTTTGTTCTCCTTTTTGATTTTTAAACATCAGCAGCACAGCTGTAAACTGGTGTTTTGCTTATTGAGTGCTCAGTTTATGAGGACTTGTGTAAGAAGGACTCGTCCTTGGGCAAAGGAGGGGTGGGAGGAGGTGATGCTGAAAATTCACACCTGGCTGCCCATCACCTCCTGGTTACACTCCCCAGGGAGTGGGTATGCCTGGATTTTAGAATCGTGGAGTGGTTTGGCTTGGAAGAGACCTTAAAGACTACCCATCCCCTGCCAAGGGACACCTTCCACTAGCCCAGGTTGCTCCAAGGGCTGTCCAACCCGGCACTGAACACATCCAGGGGTGGGGCAGCCACAGCTTCTCTGGGCACCCTGTGCCAGTGCTTCACTAAGGTCCCTTGACTTTATGCATCCCACTAAGATCAGGCCACAATTTTGGGAGAACAGGGAAGAAGGACAATATCCCGTGGCATCACCCTCAGTGCTGAGACTCTGACAGAGGAGGAGATGCACATGTTGGGTTTGTGAGTGTTTCTCTCCAAGCACCTCACTTGACTATGCAAGTCTGGCAGTGGAAAAGTTCCATTTTCCATTTCCAGCTAAATTTTGAGGGGTTTGCCATCCTTGCACCCACCTTTCTGGTGCCAGTCCCATGGAACTGAAGCAGTTTGTGTCCTATATCCATGACTTCCAGGAGGTTTCTTTCAGCTGGACTCTACAAAGTGTTGCAAAACCTTCCTATTCTCTGTTAGCAGTGTGGAAGGAATGATAAAAAAAAAATACTCCCCTAAATCCCAGTACTTGGATTAAAACCAGGGAAGGATAGGCTGACTGTGCAGCTCATTTTTTGGAAGTATTAGGAAAAATTGCCAATGGCAGTGACGTGGCATTAGTGTGAATTCCCAGCAGGCTGAGGCTTGGGGTGGTTTAGGTTTTCCCAAAGGCTTTTTCAGGCTCTCAGCATTATGAAATACAAAGTGGCTGGATCAGTGTGGGTTTTGGGGAATGGCTGCTCCATGGGATTTGTTTAGTGACTTTTTCCCGGTATCCAGTCGCCAATTTTGTCACTCTCCTGCATCCAGCTCCTTCTTCTCCTTAGTTTTTACCACAAATATAAATGGGGCAATTAAAAAGGGTCCGTGGGGAGCATTCCTGAGGACTGAAATCCGGGATCTGGGAGCAGACGGCAGCAGCATAAAGAGGAATTCTTCCCTCTCTGGCCTCATGCTGCTTTTCCACCACAAGGCTTTACAGCCATCTGGATCCCCTTTCAGATTATGCCTCCCCCCCTCCCAAAAAAATCCATAACCTAGCAACCTTATTTAGTGTAAACGAGAGCATTATGCCTTCCTGCTTCCAAATTTGTGCTTGGCTCCTCCGACTGCCTTTATGGGATGGCTGCTGTGATCCCATGGCCGGCACAGGGTGCCTGTCTCCAGCAGGATTTTGTAGGATTATTGAGTCCTGAGTGTTGCACTTATTATTATTATTTTTTTCCCCATTAAAGGGGCTTAGAAAACAGAGAGGGGGGAAAAGGGTTTCAGGAAGTTGTTTAGTCCATCTGCTTCTTGATATGAAAGAGTGGAGAGGGCAAGTTGGTCTTTGGCTCCATGGAAAGCGATTGGCTTTGGTTCAGCCTTGAAGACTTGATCAAAGTGGGACTTTTTTTTTCTTCCAGATGTAATATTTTGGGAGTCCCTATTGCTTCCCCCAGCTCTGTGTCATCACCCAGGAATTTTCGAATTCCCTGGAGCGTTTTACACCAGTTTCTCTGCTCTGACCCTTCAGCTGCGTAGGCTGAGCGTTTCTCGTGGAGTTTCCAGTTTGCTTTCCCCGAGGATCCTCTTAACTGGGGAAAACTGCAAACCAGGAAAAGCAGCCACAAATGAAGGTGGAAGATTATTCCCACCAAATGAAGCAGCAGGGACAAGGGAGCCTGCAAGGTGTGGCCTGAGGCTGCCCACCCCCATGGTGATGTCTGTGCTCTCGTTGCTCTGTTTGGGCTAAAATGCACCCAAATTTAATAACATGTGTGATAATAAAATTTTTTAAGCACGGGATCCCATTACCCTCAGTCCTTACAGGGAACCAGGGGCTGCTGCCTTCTCCTTTCACCCCGTGAGCACGAGCAGGGCTGGGGGCAGGAGGAGGCAGCGGCACATCCTTTCCCACCACACTTTTGGGAGGAAGAGCGAGCTCAGCGGGTTGTGACGTTTTGGAGCTGCGTGCCGGGGAAAAAGGGGAAAAAAAGTAATTACAGATCCCCGGGGCCAAAGGGGGAAAATTCCTGCAGTGTTATTTCATCTCCGAGCAGCGGGTTGAGCCGTCCTGGGGCAGCCTGTGTGTGCCCTTCCGAGCGAGGAGCTGCTGGCTCCGCTTCACACCCTCCTGAGAAGGGACTTCCAGCTCCCATTTCTGATGGGAGCCCAAGCAGGGCTGTCCTCCAAACTCTGCTTCCCCCTCCTCCAGACAGGATTAAAAAGTGCCATTGATTTTTATTTTTTTCTCTGTTTATTTTTGCCTGTTTTCCTGGAACTTGCAAAATCAGCCCTGAGCAAACCCTCTGGTTTGCTTTTCCAACGGCGCTGGGAGGGAACTTGACTTTACATTGGGTGATGGGGGCTGCAGCTGCTCCACGTCTGCATGTTCCTCTGCCAATGGCAGCAAAAAACAGTTTCCCATTTAAAAGTTCTCTTCAGTCTTAAGGTTCTGGGATTGTCTGTGTGTTAAACTGCCTGGAATCAAAAGCACTTGCTGGAAATTGCAGTGGTACCAGTTGCGCCGCTGGCTGTTTCTTTCCTTAGAAAGACTTCCCTGTTCTTTTCCAGTGGCTGATTGCTTTGGCACATTGTCACATCACTCTGTGTCCCCTGCCCAAAGGCAGTGGAGAGGGTTAAGGTTTTGTGTTTGGTGACGGCCAGCCAGGGAACACAGCCAGGAAAGTTCCTGATTCCCGTTCAAAAAAAGCATTGGATCCACTCTTGGGGAGAAGGGATCAAAGGTCCGAAGCGCTCTGTGGTTGGAGGTCAGTTTGGTTTCTTGGTTGTCCAGGCACACAACAAAACCCCACCACCTCCCCCCAAGCCTGCACACGGCCAAAGTGGGTGAAACAAACCGGTTTTTGTTCCATCTGACACCCAAAAATTGTTTCTGTTGCCGCTGGTGGTGCTGCATCGCCCTATCTGAGCTTTGCTGGATGTCTGTATGACTCTGCCTGTGATGTGAGGGACTTGTTGGGATGCTCCTCCTTCCCAGCACATTAATCCCACTAATCAGTAATGCTGCCAAGCCCTGTGCCATCGCTCACGCTCCTCCTCCACTCGCTGCCGGGTTTTTGGAATGAAGGATGTGGGTCAGGTTGGATGCACTGGATGCAGCACCATCCCCACGGCAGCATAGTAGCTGTATAAAATCACAACATGCCAAGAGTTTTTGCTTTCACCCCCCCTCTTAATCCTGTTGTGCCCTGGTTTGGAACAGCAGAGGCTGTCGCTCCCGGCTGGGATACTGAGATTTCCCCTCACTCCGTCCCGGGGAAAGGCAGTGCAGCCGCGTGGCACCTCTGGGGCGACAGCAGTGCTAGTTCGGGGCTGGCTCTGCAGCTGCCTGTGATTTTCCCAGCGCTGCAGATCCCGGTGCTGGACCAGCTCCAGAGATGGAGCTGAAGGAAATTCCTTCCAGCTGCTTGAGGTCAGGGCTTCGCTTTTCTTTTGGGGTTCGCGAGGGGGATTTTTTTTGCCTGCGAGTTAAAACGCGGGTGACTCCGGTCGTTGCTTCTTAACACCTGGAAAAATCCTTTTCTTTTAAATATTATCCCGTTACTCATAGCCAATAAATAACCTTCCTGTTGTGGAATCATTCCATGGAAGAATACCCCGCTTCGCAGCGCAACTTGGGCTGTTTCAGAAAGCTCTTGTCAGCTGCTCCCAGTTTAACTTTCAACCGAGTTAATAACGCTTTTGGTTAAACCTGTCTGAAACACGTTGCGAAACGCCTTTGAAACTCGAGACGCCGTTCACGCCCGCTTGAAATCTTTCCCATCGATAAAATGTTTCAACTTGGAGTTTGGCCATGGCTTAGCGTTTGCTTTTCCCCGAGATTCGTGATTTCGGACCTGCCTGTGTCTGGCTCTGCTGTGTTTTTAAAGCTCAGTGTTTCCTGGAGATGGGTTGGCCTCACCAGCCTGGCCGATGGGATGCTGCTCAGACCAACAGCTTCATCCAGTTTCCCCAGTTAATGGCTGAGGAGATCCAGTCTGAGTTTGCTTTGAATCCCTGCAGAGGAAGTTGTTTTTCTTGTAAACGTAACTTAAATCCTTCTAAAAATGGGGTTTTATTCACAACAGCAGAGGCAGAGGCCACCCCTCCACCCTGTGCATGGGCTGTATTTAGGTATGATGATGCACAGCATTTGCCTGGCCCCTTTGTGCACTGATGTTATAAATAAATAATAATAAAACTTCTAAAAAGAGGACAAGCAGCTCCTTTTAATAAGTAAAACCCCGAGAAGGAGCACACAGTTCAAATCCATGTGGCAAAGCAGCAGGAAAGCAAAAATCTGTGGCTTTCATCCCATGGGTGATGCTCATGGCGTCACCTCCTGTGGCATCCCTGGTGTCACCCCCCCCTACACTCAGGGATTCTGCCTCACTCCCCTCCTCCCTGCCTCGGTGTCTCTACCTGTGAGAAGATAATTGCCTCCCTCATTAATCCCTCTGCGATCTCCGAGGAACGCTCTGGGTGAGAGGTTGGCCCCGCGCATTAAGTGCTCGCTCTGGCTCTAATGGGGATTAATTTGGCGACGTGGCTTCTGGAGGTTTGCCTTTAACAGCCCAAGGTGTAATCAAAGGGCAGCAATGCCAGCGAGCTCAGGCTGACCTGTAACACTCCCTTCCTGGCTGCTCGATAGCCCATTAACCACAGCCTGGCTTTTAATTAAAGCCCGGTTTTGTCCTCGTTGAAGAAACTCGGACGTGCTTGGCCCCACGTGGCTGAGTCATTGGAGGGTGGAAGGACGGAGACGTGGGGCTCGGGTTGTTCTGTCTTGTGGCGTTGCCACCTCTGGCTCTCTGCATCCCAGCACACTTGTTCCTCGCTGTGCTCTGTGTCCTATAGAATCACAGAATCGTGGAACGGTTTGGGTTGGAGGGGACCGTTAAAGACTGTCTCGTTCCAACCCCCTGCCATGGCAGAGACACCCTTCACTATTCCAGGTTGCTCCAAACCCTGTCCAGCCTGGGCTTGAACACTTCCAGGGATAGGACAGCTTCTCTGGGAAACCTCTGCCGGTACCCCTTTGCTATGTGCAGGTCATGCCCCCCATCGTGGGGGATGCAGGGACCTCCTTGGGGGCTGTGGGTGCCCCACAAGCATCATCTCCCCACTCTGAGGTTCCTTGGCCATGGAGAGAGCAACAGGGAGGCTTTTGTTCTGCACCAGAAACTTCTCATCCTTCTTTATGCCTCCTTTTTTATTTCTTTTGGCTGCTCTCTCGCAAATCTGAAGCAGATTAAAATACAGTTCCTCCCCACCCCCCCCTTAAAAAAACCCAACTCCAAAGCTTGGCTGCTTGGAATCATCAGATTTCACTGGAGTCTTTTAAAGTTAACAGTTTCCTGGATCCTGGGCAGGATAACTGATTTTCCCCCTCTAACCTCCGTGTTTTTTGCTGCAACATTTCTCAGCTGTTGCAGCAGGAGGGAGGGAGGACCAGGGCAGCTCCGACGTGGAGAAGGTTCTTCCACGCGGGGGTTGGATGAGTCTGGTGTGGGACTTGCTGGACTTGCATCGTAGGGGACTGAAGGGTTGTCCTGGGAGGCTGAGCCCCCACGGCATGGCTGGCAGGTAGGTCATGGCTGCATCGGTGATGCCCTTTTGGGACAAAATATTTGGGAAGTGGTTCCATTGGAAAGAGAGAGTAGGATGCTGGGAGCGGGTCGGAGCTCCGTTTCTGCCGACTGTTTATTTGCCGAGGGCTGTGATGGTTTTGGGGTCTGGTGCAAGAGCGGCACAGCTCAGGTACACACAACCATCAGGAATTTTTCAGGCTTCATGGGATTTGCTGCCCTAAATGCAGCCTGGATCCTCCTCACCCGCCGCCTCTGCCATGGAATCTCCTGGTGGAATTGCTGAGCCAAAACCCTGGCTCTGGTCAGAAGAGCATCGCAAGTTAAAGGAGTTGTCAAGGAAAGAAAAATTACAGTCCTGTGCTGGTTGGCTTTGTTGCCTCTTCTCCAAGAGTGATCTCTCCTTCCTTGCAAAGAAACCATCCGGAGCTTTCCCAGATGGAGGACGTTTCTCCAGGGTGGTTGGGGAGCTGGAGGCGGCCAACCTTGGCCAACGCCGGTGATTATCAGCACGAGCCCCGGGGCGAGGTGGGGCAGCCAGAGCCTCGTCCTGCAGCCGACACATCCTCGTGCTGCGAGCGTGACCGAAGGGGAGTCCCTGAACCGTCTAAAAACCCCTTTGACCCAGCAAACGGAGCGGAGCCGAGAACCAAACCCAACCCCGCTCCGTGATGCCGAGCTGCGCATTAACTCCGCCGGAGCCAGGAACAAAGGTTTTGGGGGCTAGTTTGGGCTTTTTTTTTTTTTTTTAATTTATTTGCAAAGCAAACCAGCTCAGCTGAGCGGAACAAGTGTCGGTGGAGGAGCGGGAGCTGCCGGGTGGTTGCTGGGCTATAAAATCCCATCCCCACCGGCGCTGGCAGGGGGATGTGCCGGCTCCCCGAGCTCTTGTGGCGTTTCCACGTTGGCCGGGAGAGGTTCTGAACATGCGTGTTGGTCTCCGGAGCCTTTAATCAAATCCAGGCTCTACCAGAAATCGCCTCGAAACTTCCAGCGAGCCGAGGAAACTGAAAGCAGCCGGAGCAAGGAGGCTCCCGGGCGGGTGTTTGGTGCTGGCGGGAATGCTGCCTGTGGTGAGGGGATAGAGCCGGTGGGGCAGCCGGGATGAAAGGTGAGTCTGCTCCCCGGAGCATATGATGGGAAGACAGAGGAAAGCCCAAAGGGTTCAGCAAAAAAGGGACCTCAAGGGGAAAAAGAGATTCAGGAGTGAGGATGCTGCTTGAAGGGACATTTCAGAGGACACTTTGGGTTCGGAGCGTCGCTCCCCGGCACGTTTGGGTTCAGATCCCGTGGTTTCCCCGTTGCCTTCTCACCCCGTGCAGAATGAGGAGCTGTGCAGTTGCTGCGCCGTCGAAAACTCCCCGCCCCAGGGGAGGGTTTTGTTATCCCTGGGTGCTTTTATTTTGGCAAACAGCGTTCAGACTGCAGGTACTTTCCTTGCTTGTTGCCAAACTTCATCGCGCGCCGCGTCCAGCCCTCTCCCGTGGGCAGGAGGGAAAACAAGGTGTATTTTGTAACTTCCTTTTCTGTGCTGGGGGCGGGGGAACTCTGTGCCTGGCCAGCGACGGTGGGGCTCGTCCGAGGGCGAACGGCTCGGAGAGCGATGGAAAGATAAGGAATAATAAATAAGTGCAATTAAAAGCCTGGGGAGGGAGGGATTGGGTGGGGAGGGGGGAGATGATACACCGGAGTCGTTATCCCAGGCAGCTGCCCGGGGTTTAACCGGGGCTCTCCGAGGGGAGGGAGGTTCTGGTCACACGTCCCAGACGTGGGACGTGACCAGCAGAAATCGCCGCGCCTTCCTCCTGGCCGCCGGTGCCTCGGGGTTTTCCTGGGAGGAAGGGGGTCGTGCTGGGGAGTTTAGGCTGAGACCTGCAAAAATGCTCTTGAAAACCACCAAACCCGGATCTCACACGGGGAAACAAACAAACAAAGCCTCCTTTACGGGCTCCACAGTCTCCCTGTGGATTTCTCTCTCGGCGGTGCTGCTGTATGGCCCGGGAATGTCCCTGTCCTCTCCCTTCTGCTGGAGATGCACTGATGCTGGGCCCTCAGTGGTTTTGGAGGGGAGATTCTAAGGAATGAGGAATCGGTCTTGGAGACTGCTGGAGGGGAAAGGAAGGAAATACTGCCTTGCTCCAAGGCTTTCTGGCTGCTTTCAGTGTTTTTACCCAGATACTGAGGGGTTTGAGGGGCAGTAGGGCTGCTTGGATGCAATTCCCAGCCATCCATCTGATGCAGCGTTTAACTGGATGGGTGACATGCGTAAGGAAAACAGCTGGAGGAGAAGCTCACAGTGGGAGAGGGAAAATCCCAGCCCTGGCTGATCCAGCCCTGCTTTGCTTTCAGGTTTACCAAGCTGGGGGCTCAGTTTTGGGCAAGGATGGCTTCACCTCGGAGGAGTCATCTCCTTCCTCCTCCGCCTCCCTTTGGAGGGACTGCAGGTCTCCAGAGTGCATCCTGAAAGAGCCTCACATCCATGTGTTTTCTCCCTGTCTCCACAGCCTACCCATGAGCTCGGACTTCCAGCATTACAGTTTCAGGATGCCGAACATCGGGTTCCAGAACCTTCCTCTCAACATATACATCGTGGTTTTCGGCACGGCCATCTTCGTCTTCATCCTCAGTCTGCTCTTCTGTTGCTACTTGATCAGGTAAGGGAAGGCTGTAAGGGAGTGTTCCCCTGGTTCTGAGCCTGCCACTGATCCCTCTCCGTCCCAAAAAGAGGGTGGCATCATCTTATCTCTCCACCAACCTGATGTCCCACAAGGCAGTCAGGTTATCCACTTAAAAAACCAGGAGGTACACGAATGCTCCAACAGGCATGGAATCAAAAGGCCTGGGAAGGGATGTTTTACGGTCCCTGCTCTTCTGCTTAATGTTTCAACACGTTCGCCTCTGTAATGAGTAACTCGTGTCCCGTGTGCTTAAGGAATGTTTAATACCTGCTCCGTTGGTTATTGGACACAAATTGCTCCTTCAACAGCGCAGTTTGGGGATTAATGATGCAGAGTTGATGTGTTAATCTGAGCGATGGGGAGCGGGACGGGAGGGCCAAAGGTTGTTCCAGTTTGGGGCTCATTTTAATTGTTTTATGGGCCACTGGGGAGATCGTTGGGCTGCTAATTGAGAGGAGACACAAGAGCCAAGTGGGGAAAAGTGCAGTGCCTGGGAACTGAGGTGGTGATGAGGGCAAGATGAGCTGAGAACCCGGGATGGGGGGCTGGCTGCACCTCTCCCTGTGGCTGGGAGCAGAGGGCACCACTGCCAGCAGTGGCAGCCAAAATCCTGTGTGCCCACAGCTCTCCTCTCCAGCTTTTCCATCCCCCTTCCCACCCCTCTGGCTTTTCAGCTGGCCCCAGCTCCCTGCTTGTCATACATCCATTGCATCCCCTCCCTCTGTCCCAACAAGACAGATTCCCAGTCTCTCCTTGCACCATGGAGCCTGCTCACAGCAGCCATTCCCGCCAGGTTTTCTATCCAGAGGGTGCTAAAAATATTTTGTCCTGCTTTTGTAGACCTGGGAAGCGAGATTTCCATGTCACCTTCTAAATACTTGATAATTTCCACCCATTTCCAGCTCTGTACGAAGCAAAACCTGATAAAATATGCAGATGAGCCCCGAGCCAGGTTTACCCAGGGGTGATTCGGGCTGCATGGGCATCATATCTTAATTTTTTTCCCACAATTATGCAGAAGAAAAAGGTGTTTTAAGGTGCAGCACATCTGTCCATCCTGGTAGACAAGGTGGTTGTTCCCAGTAACATCACGGTGCTCGATGTTAACAAAGTCTGTGCTGGGTTTTGCATCCAGTGCTTGCATTTTAACTGGGAACACCAGTGGGAGGGGATGCAAAATAAATAAATAAAAAAACCAGACCAAAGGTGTTCAGAAGGCTCAGGGACGTGTTTTGCTCAGGTGGAGCTTGAATCCATACGGCTCGCTTGGAAAACGAAGCTGCGTTCTGGGCTCTGAGAGTATTTTTCCTGAGCACCAGGTCTCGCTGGGTGTGTTCTGCCCCAAAGAAGGAATAACAAGGAGTAATGTCTGGAAGGTCAAGCCAGAAAATCTTTAAATTTAGAAGTTGGAGGCGTGTTGTAAGAGAGAGGGTGAGTAACCGGTGGAAGGAGCCAGCAAGGAAGTGGCAAGTCCTGTGTCTCTTCACATCTTTAAATCAAGACCGAGGACCTTTCTGGACGAGACGTTTTGGCTCCTGTTCCCGAGGTGCTATTTAGCAACCCATGATAGATGGGAGGCTGGATTAGATCATCCAGCGATCCCTTTATAGCCTGAAACTCTATAGAGACTCTACAAATGGCTCTTCAGACCTCCTCCCTCAGCTCTTCTATTGGCAAAACAGAACCAAAAACAGGATCCTGCAGCCCCTGTTTGGGAGGGTTGTGCCGTGCCGGGGGTTTTAGCTGTGCCAGTGTCCCAGGAGCATCCGCCTCCACGGAAGCTGCTGTGTAATCACAGCTTGTGGGGGATAAAAAACGAGCTGTGGTGGGGTTTGGGGAGCCTGGTAGGTGGAGAGCAGGATGAGGGCCACCCACCTGCAAGGGCAGAGAGACCAACCCAGGCAGAGGGCCAGGACGGTCCCCTCAGGAGCTCCAGGGCTCCACTTGTATCCAGAGGGGTTATTTGCAGGTAACAGCACCCCCACAGGTGCAGAGTCAACACAGCCCATCCCCTCCCTCTCCCTCCTTTCCCTCCTTTTCCTCCTTTCCACATCTGCAAATATTTGGCAAATACCAGGTGAGGCTCGAGACACCACCGTGGTTCTCATGGCCTGCTGTGGATCAGAGCATCCCGTGCAGCTCTCCTCTGCATCCGTGGAAAAGCCAGTGTCTGGTGTATTCACCCCAAATCCAGAGCTGAGGCCTTAAATAAAGGATGTGCCAGGGGAGGAGAGAACACGGGCTGTGCTTCACAGCTGTGTCAATACACAACACACTGCCAGCTCCAAAGGGAGGAAAAGTGGCATTTTTAATTAATTGGATTGGCTCTAAAAAGAGCCTGACAGGGATTTCAGCACAAAGCCCAGCAAAGATCATCGTTACCTGTGCCCTGTCCAGATGAATCTCGAGCTCTTCTGCTGCTGCAAACCACTCAGGTCAAACTTGGGTCCCTCAGAGGCTGCTGCCTCTGCTTGGAAAAAATACAGATAAAAAAGGGAGGAACAAGGAAATTAAATTTTGCAGGTGGCTGGTTGTGTCTGATCTCTGCTGAATTAATGAAAGTGATAAAATCGTGTTGCCTTCGGTCCCATAAAACCCAGTCCAGAAGGATGCTGAGCCGAGCGATGCCACGCTCACCCTGGGTGAAGGCTGCAGCTTCCTCTCTCCATGCTTTCTGCAGGATCAGCCCAGGCTAGGGCAGCTCGAAGTCTCCAGGAGGTGCACAGAATGCAGCCCCTAAAAACCCCATTTGTTATGGGGCTGTTTCCTTCTGCATTTTTTCAGACCTGCCAGGATCCAACACTGCCGTTGGGTTTTGCGTCCAGAGAAGGGAGCTGAGGAAGGGTCTGGAGCAGCAGGAGCGGCTGAGGGAGCTGGGGGGGCTCAGCCTGGAGAAAAGGAGGCTCAGGGGGGACCTTCTGGCTCTGCGACTCCCTGACAGGAGTGGGGAGCTGGGGGGAGTCAGGCTCTGCTCCCAGGGAACAGGGACAGGAGGAGAGAGAGGAGAGGGCCTCAAGCTGTACCAGCAGCAGGTTTAGGTTTGGATATTGGGGAAAATTTCTTCCTGGAAAGGACTGTCCATTCCTGGCACAGCTGCTCAGGGCAGCATTGGAGTCCCCATCCCTGGAGGGATTTAAAAGCGGGAAGACATCCCGAAGCCCGGGATATTAAGGCGGATATTAAGTTCGGGGCTGGGTGACGGCGCACACGCTCCGCAGCCACCCGCTGTGTGGTCCCTTATCTTGGGCAGACATCTGCCAGGAATTCCTCTGGAGTCACAGTGCTTGACACGAGATGGATGGAGCCCTGGGCCTGCCAGGATCCAGGGTCTCCTTACGACAGCTGCACCGGGCCCGACCAGCATCCATCTGGCTCTGGATCCTGGCTTTGAAAGGGAAGTGTGGAGGAGCAGACAGAGCTCGCACGCTCCGGCACCAGATGGGCTCGTGCTGCTCCCCATAACCTCCAGGGAGGGATTTTTTGGGAAAAATTCCCTACCTAGCTCAGCACCAGCCCATGGCATCGTAGCCCCTGTGCTCACAGCACGGGGCTGCACAGATGCGGGGCCAGGTGGCTCCTTCTTCCCCGTTGCTGGTCCAGACACTCCGGTGGCTTTGGCTCAGCGAATCCTTGGTGGCCAAGGACCCGTCAGACGGATGTTTCTTCCCATTCCGGGAGAGTTCTCCCGCTGTATGTGGTCTCCAGCCGCACGCCGTGCCTCTCTCCATCTGTGTTTCATAACCGCTTTCCCAGCCACCGGATCCCTGCGGATTGGGCCGGTTTCATCCTGTTTTCCCTATTGTTCCTGCATCTTCTGCTCATGTTTCTGCTCGGGGTCACTGGCAGAGGGATGCGACCCCAGCCTCTTCCTCCTCCTCCTCCTCTTCCCTGCCTGCTGCAGTGTTTTCCATCATTCTGAAGGAAGGTTCCTGCCAGGCAGCACTTTTGGAGCAGGAGGAATGGCTCCCCATAATATTTGGGACTGAGGAGCCAACTTTCTGCATCTCTCTCTGCAGCATTAAGGTGTGTTTTCACCCATTCCTCAGCTTTTAAGGCCCACATTTTGGGGGGGGGGGGAGAGATCTGAGCATAAGGATGCATTTTTCCATCCTGTTTTTATAGCTCCCCCACTGCAGCGTGGCAGGACTGGAAAACCCCCATGAGCTCAGCCAGGGCTTTGAGACAGCCCCCAGAATAATATTTTCAGAGAAATTAAATTCCAGACAAGGGGGTTTCCCTCTGAATTCACACTCAGAGCTGGCTGGGGAAAATACTCCTACAGCTCTCCAAGCCCTGCAGCCACACACTGACTCCTTATGGAAAGTCCTTGGCCAACTCTTTAGCTTAGATGTCTTCCCTCCTGAGCTTTCAGAGCACTTCACTGAGAGCCAGGTCTGGTAATGAGAGGCAATATTAGTTATTTTTTATTTTAAGTGTATTTATTTTGGGATCATAATGGGCTTCTCCAGCCAGTGGATGCCTGTGGAGCGCTCCCCTGGGCTGTGGAAAACAGACTGCTCTTGCTTCTGGCTCTGAAGAGGAGAGTCTGAAGAAGGAGGGGATGGAACCAGCCATTCCTGCTGCCACCAGCTGGACTTCCTGCTGCACAGGTGTCCTTGGAATAGGTTCATCCCATTCATCTCCACCCCTTGATTTGCTCCAGGAGTGGATGTTGTTCAATTGATCATAGAGTTGAAGATAGTGCTGAGTTTGATGAACCCAACGTTGCCCAAGCCGCAGGATGGTGGGAAACCCTGGGGCAGAGAGGTCTCCTTCCCCATCCTTGCTGGAGTGGGAGTGGAGATTTCCTCAGGTCTGAGTCCCCATCACTTGGAAAACAGTGCTCTGTCCAGTCTAGGAATTGCTGGCAACAGAAGTGGTTGGAAACCTGGGGGGGATTTGTGGCAGCTTGTGATTTACTCATCAGCTTTCACTGATCTTAACAGTTTGGGTGATGTCTGCATGTCCTCAAAAGAGGAACAGGGGAACAGCTGTGTGCTTTGGGATGGAGACATTCCCTTCTCAGCCACAGGGAAAGCTGAATGTTTCTTAAACATGTTGTTTCATGTGGCCATTCTCAGTTCTGAAAGGAAAAATTAAAAAAATAATATGTTAGATCTGGAAAGGAGGGAAGGGAAACATTTGAGGTGTTACAGTAATCCTGTTTTCTTTGCCTGTCTTCACGTTTCTCCCTGGTTTCCTTTGCAGGCTCAGGCACCAGGCACACAAAGAGCTTTACGCCTACAAACAGGTGAGATGACCCTCAGGAAGTTTTCCTCTCCTCCCCTTCATGCCCAGCGCCAAATTCACATTGGAGCCTCCACTCCATCAGGTTTCCTTGTGCTGATCCTGGTGATTTAATTGTTCCCTACCAGCTGGGCCCCTCAGGACCATCCCTCACCTGCTCATCTGCAGGTCTCCAGGTTCTCTGCCAAGCAGCAGGAACATCCCCAGCCACCAAACCATGCTTTGTGGGGTCTGAATCTGCTCCCAGGGTCGGACCCAGCTGCTCCAAACCCACAGGACTCTCCCAGGGAACAGCTCCATGTCCCCTCGGCAATCCCAGCTCTTCCCTGCACGCACCCACACTCCCCAGTTAAAATAAACAGGGCTCAGAGGTGGGTGTGAAGTTGCTGCTTCCACGTCCTGTTTTGTCCAGGATTTATGGGATTTTTCTGCCTCTGATCCGTTGTTCAAGCAGGAAGCTGGGTGGGGTCAGGGTGATAACAAACCGTTGTCCTGGATTTATGGCCCTCTCCAGGTGTTCAGCCTGGATGGAGTGAGAATGGAGTGGCAGGTTGGGAGCCCAGGAGGGTTAAATTTGGGAAGACACCTCCTGGATTTGGTCCTTGTGTTTGTGGTTATGTCTGTGCCAGCACTGCCTTCCTCCTGTCCCTGCTCGGGGGTGAGGGCCCCACGCACTCCCAGGCTGTGCCAGGTTTACTGGGGGGTTCCCAGTTCTGCTGGGAAACTCAACTGCATCTCTTTGTGGAGGTTTTTCCTGGGAATGCTCACAGCAGTTCTGTCCTGACCCCAGCACTTTGTCTTGCAGGTTATACTCAAGGAGAAGGTGAAGGAGCTGAACCTCCACGAGGTGAGCACATCCTGGGCAGCAAAGCCTCCCTCACCCTCCTCTTCCTCACACTGGGGAGGGGGCAAATCCTCAAATTTAACTCCCTTGGGAGCAGGGCACACAGCCAGGTGTGCTTTGGAAAGGGGGAAGGCACCTCTGCAGAGGCCTGGATTAAACCATCTCCCTCCTCTTGGCTCCCCTCGAGCTTTTACTGCCCCATTATTATTATTATTTATTGCCTTATTATTACGGCAGCGATAAGGAGCTGTGGATAAGGGGAGGCCAAGGAAAGCTGGGCCTTGGATAAACAGTGTCCCTGGGCGGGGACGTCCCCTCCGGAGAGTGACGATATCCAGCGCAGCTCTGGGCAGGGAAAACTGGAGTCCCGGATAAACGCCCTCCTTCCCCCAGCCCCTGGGAGAGGCAGATCCACCTCTCCCCCTCCCTGCCCCGTGAGGTCTGAAACACCTCCGTTGTTCTCCGTGAGCTTCCAGGCCTTTGGGGGCTGAGTGTCCCTATTTACAGCCCGGTTTTCCCGCTGGAGTTGAGCAGGAATGTGCTCGAATCCCACGTCAAACACGGGCTGGATTTATTTATTCCCCCAAAGACAACAGAAATGCCCACCCACGTCCCGGGCACGAGGCCACTCATCTGCTCAGTGCCAGCTCCAGTTGTTTGTAAGCCACTATTTATTTTATTTTAATTCCCTGGGCAGAGCCCATCCCACGTTTTATCCTCACCCTCCGCTCCCCGAGGCCAGGGGGTAAATCCCAAGGGCCCCGGCGTTCCGAGCAGTCCCCGCTGGAGGCTCCTATTTCAGATCCTCTCCCTGCAATCGACCTGCAGTGGGGTTTTTTTTTTGTCGGCACACGGACTTCAAAGCACTTCCCGGGGTGAGAAACGGGTTGTGGGAGGGATTTGGGAATGTGCCAGAGTCGGGAACAGCGGCGGTCCCGCTCCGTCCCTCCTCCACCTCTGTTCCCAGCTCTCCGCAGCTCTCCCAGCTTTTGGGGAGGACGAGGGAACGGGACAGAGCAGCTCAGCCTCTTCCCTGGGGTTTGGGAAAGGCTGCAAGGGATTTGCTCCAAAATATCCCTTTTTGGGCATTTGGATCCTGGCATTTACAAGAAAGTGTTTCTGGAAAGCGGAGCCACGGGGTGGGAATTTTCCAACATGACGGGGCGGCTGCCCGGAGCCCTGGGGAGGGGAAAGCGCCCGCCCAGCCCTTCCCCCTCCCCGTCCCTGGGTTCGGTTTTCCCCTTTTTCCATCGTTCCGCCTCTCCCAGGCCCTGGGGGAGCTCGGGATGTGTGTGTTCCTTGGGGGATGGTCCCGGCAGCTGCGCCTGGCCCTTGTTGTGGACTGACAGAGATCCCGGGCCGAGGGGGCTGGGAAAACCAGCTGGGAATACCCAAAATCTCCAGGAATATCCAAGATGAGTCAGGACTAAGCAGGGAAGGAGTCTTTGGCTGAGTCTTTTGCCTGCTGGGAAAACAGCCACCAGCTTTCCCAGCCCTGGGATAGATGCACCTTCTGCCTTTTCCTGTTCCTGGAGTTATCCCTGTGGATGCAGCTCAGACCCAGGGACAGCAGCAGTGTGGATCCATCCCCCTGCACCCTAAAAGCTCCTGACACATCAAACACATCCCAGCTTCCTGGCTGTTGCTCTGGGAAGGCTCCGGGGTCCCTTCTGCCTGGAAAGGGAGACCCGAGGCTCTGCCTGGGCAGTGAAATTTGGGAAGGTTTTAGGGAGGATTTCACCCTTCTGATGTTGCTTCCTGACCACTGACCTTCCTTCCCTCTGCATCCCAACCCTTCCAGATCTGTGCCGTGTGCCTGGAGGAGTTCAAGCCCAAGGACGAGCTGGGGATCTGTCCCTGCAAACATGCCTTCCACAGGAAGTAAGTGTGGGCACTGGGACTGGGGGAGGGCTCCTGGCCTGGGGCCTCCTGGTGCTGCTGCTGCTCCTTCCCAGGGGCTCTTCCCACCCCCATTCCAGGGGCAGGAATTGCAGTCCCTTATTGAATGAATTGGAGCATGTGGAGCAGCGAAGATCCGATCAAAAACTGACAAAAGTGCTTCACATATAGGTGTATTTTATATATATATTTGTAGAGAGAGAGGTATAAACACACTTGAAATAGTCCAAGCTCTTCATATCCCTTGTGTGTGTGTGTTTACATCTATAAAATTTACATAAATCTATAAAATAGATCCCCAGAACCACCAGAACAGCTCCCCAGGGATCTGCAGGGACCATTTGGGCACTGTTCCAAGCTCTGGGGCTCACCTTGTAGGTTGCCCTTGTGCTGGGTCAGGAGTTGGCCTTGGTGGTCCTCATGGATCCCTTCCAACTCAGCCTGTAATTCCATGAAAAATGTAAATAGATTTATTTTATACACGTCTGGTTTATATAAAGCAAAACCATTGTATTATATATAGTATATATACTAATACATTTTTATATTTACTTACGCATGTGTTTTATGTTATTTTTATATTATTTATCTTTTATATTATTACACCTATATGTTTTGTATATAATTATATATGTTATATATCATATAACTATATATAATAGAATACATAACATATGCAATAGTATTATAGTATATATGTGATTATATTATATACGTAGCTTATGTATAATTTCTATGCATATTTATATGCATTCACAGACATCTTTAGTGCATATATTTTATTTTTTGTACATGTATAAGTTTTTATATCTATTTTATAAACAAATATAAACTATATATATATATATATAAAACCTATCTACAAAAATTCAATTTATTTATACACACACATGCAATAAAATATAGATGCACCCAAATGGTGAATTAAAAATTGGGGGCAGCAGCAAAGCTCCAGAGGGAGGGGTCAGTGGGTTTTGGGGGGGTTTGCAGCTCCCCATTAATGCCCGGTGTGTCCCCACTATTCCAGGCGTGTCCCCCTATTCCAGATGTGTCCCCACTATTCCAGGTGTGTCCCCCTGTTCCAGGTGTCCTCACTAACGCCGGTGTCCCCCCGTGTCGCGCAGGTGCCTCATCAAGTGGCTGGAGGTGCGGAAGGTGTGCCCGCTGTGTAACATGCCGGTGCTGCAGCTGGCTCAGCTCCACGGGAAGCCGGATCCCGGCCCCCCGCAGGGCCCCCTGCCCGGGGCCCAGAACATCGTATAGTGCCCGCCGGGGCCGGGCCGGGGCCGGGGCCGCTCCCGCCCGCGCCGCTCGGACACAGCCAAAGCGCCGGGGACGCAGCCGGGGAGCCCCCACTCCCCACGGATGAAGGGCCTGACGCTCGAGCCCGGGCCCGGTTCCTCTGCCGGGGCTCGGAGGGGGCTCGGGATCCTCAGCACCACATCCTTCTTCCGGCACATCCCTTCTCCGGGAAGCAGCGCGGTGGCACCTGGAACGCCCCCCCAGCTCCCGGTGCCTCCCGCGCCCGTCAACTGTGCCCCAAACGCAGCGGGGACCCTGGAGCACCACGGCCGGTCCCTGCTCCCTCCTCTTCGCCTTTGGTTCCTTTGCCTTTGCCATTCCCACCAGGAAACGGGGTCTGGCCCCGGGATCGTGCCGCGGTTGGGTGCCCCCTGGGCGCCGGCAGCGGGTGGGGGCTGTGTGGGGTCTCCTGGGTTTGGACTCCCCACCCGCCCTGCCTGGGGGTGGTTGTCCCCCTCCTTGGCTACCTCAGGAGTCCCTGGAACGGGCACCATCCTGGTGTCACCCATCAGCAGCGAGAGCCATGGCATGGAGGGGGCAGGCAAAAATCCTGGCTTTTGGGATCATCCCATCGCTTCCAGCCTGGCCCTGGGAGTCTCTGGGCAGCCCCCCAAACCCGCCATCGGCGTGGGGGGGAGCTGGGCCACCCCCTCGCCTCTCCAGCCACAGATCTGGGTGTTCCCCGCCATCCTCACAACTCGTATTCCCTGGATTTTGGGCAGGGGGAGGGTGTCAGTATTACATGGCAGTGGCTTTCCCGGGTGCAGGGCTGGGGGAGCGCCGGGTGCCGTCCCCCCATCCCGTAAATTCCTCCCAGGACTGTTTATGGAGCGTGGAGCCTCATAGACGTGTTTGTACACTACGGATTCTGCAGCAGAATATTTTTTAAAACATTCGCTGTTTTGGTTTTTGGTTTGTTTTTTTTTTTTTTTTTCCTCTTGTTTGTTCGGTTTTTTTGTAAGCTCTATTTTTGTATATTTAATTGCTATTTGGAAATTCTAATAATGCGTCTTTTTTGCTAATCACACTCTTCTTAAGGAAAGGAAACAAAAAGAAAAAAAACAACAACAACAAAAAAAACCCAAACCAGGAGTTCGCATGTGATTTGACTTGAAATGTAAATAAAAGCAGGTTTTGGAAGCGGGGGTGTGTTTGAGGGGGTCTGTCCCCCCCATCCCTCATTCCCGTGTCACCACAGGGATGTCTCCAAAGGCAGTGGGACCCCCCAGAGGAGCTGGAAGAAGGGCTGGTTTGGGGTTGGGGATCCTGCTGTCCATGTCTCCCTGCCCCAGCACGTCCCTATCCCGGTGCAGATCATCCCTCCCTCTGCTGCCGATGGGGACACCACTCCCTGAGGGCAGGTTGGCTGCTGGCCATCCCAAAATCCCCAGCCATGAAGGATTTGGAGGGTTCCAGGCACAGCCTGGGCTTCCCTTCTTAAGAAGATATTCCTCCTTCAGCCAACCTTCCCAGCCCAAATCCCCAACGCCCTAAGGCCAAGCTCCCATAGGATTTGGAGGTTCAGCTCCCGGCCTCTGTGCTGTGGGATCTCCTGGGGTGCAGCTCAGAATCCGTCTCCTCCTCACCCCGTTCCATCCCTGCTCTTCCCCCCTGTCCTGTCCCTGTCCCGCTGTCCCCGCACCCTGCTGCCCTCTAGTGCCGGCAGCTTCCCGGCACCGCATCCCACCTGGAGATCAGCCACGGCATGGGTTGGGTTTGGAAGGGACCGTAAATCCCTTCCAGTCCCACCCCATGCCATGGGCAGGGACATCTTCCTCTATCCCAGGTTGCTCCAAGCCCCGTCCAACCTGGCCTTGGACACTCCCAATTCGCCCCGGAATAATGCTCTTTAATTTATTTTCCCCTCTCCTTTCACATGCTCTGAAATACAGCTCATTCCCAGAGCCTGGAACATGCAGAGCAGGAAGAACAATCAAGGACTGCCAACGATTATTTTCAATCAGGCTCTAAAATCCAAGCAGTTGACCCCAATTCCCCCAGCACATTCCCGCTCGCTCCCACCACCGTCCGTCCCGCTCCACTGGAGCTCCAAGAACGAGGCAAGAAGCAAACAAGGGTTTCAAGCATGTAAAAAATAACTGTGATGTTTTATTACAAGAAGAAAAAACCAAGCAGTTTATAAAAAAAAAAGGACAAACGCTACGCCAGGGACTTTGGTGCTGGGATCAGACCGTGCTGGATCTGCTCCAAATCCGGAGAAAAAGGAGTTACATGAACACAGGAGAAGCCACGGGATGCTGTGCCCAGGGACACCAGTGCCTCGGGGCAGGGGCTGTGGTGGGTCAGGCTGTGGGATTCCTGCTGGGAATTCCTGCAGAGGTTTCCCAGCTCTCCACAGCCAAGGTGGTTCAGCTCCCGCTTTAACAAAGCCCAGCCTTTTTCCCTGTGTATCCCAAGGATTCACACCCCGTCCCTGCACCCACAGGATCAGCCTCACACCCAGCCCAGCCCAGCTGTTACACCAGGGGGCCACACAGGTCCTGGGCACATGGACATTCCAAAAAGCCAAAGTTTTTCCATGAGTTTTGGCTGTGAGGGCAGGCAAAGCGGCATCGGGGGAGGGTGTGGTACATCTTCTGTGGTACATTTTGTGTGGCACAGAAAGAGCCGGGTCTCGACACCCTTCAGGCAGCCCCTGGGAAGTGAAGCTCCTTTTAATGCCCTGAGTTTGGGCACCTTTTGTGTGATTCTGTGAGAAATGAATAAATGAGAGACCAAACAACTCCCCCAGAGAAGCTGTGGCTGCCCCTGGATCTCTGGAAGGGTCCAAGGCCAGCTTGGATGGGGCTTGGAGCAACTTGGGATAGTGGGAGGTGTCCCTGCCCGTGGCAGGGGGTTGAATTGGGTGATCTTTAAGGTCCCTTCCAACCCCAACCATCCCATGACCTGTATGATCCTGCTCCCATTCCTCACCTCTGAAGCACCACATGATGGAACACAGAGCAGGACACAACCAAAACCTGTTACTCTGCAGGAAAAGCACATTTTCTTCCCCACCCAGCACAGATCACCTTCCATGTGAGCTCTGCACTCCTTTCCCCGTATTTTACTGTTGTCAAATTCCTGGCTGTGTCCCAGATTCCAGCCCAGGCTCAGCTGAGGTTTGGGAGCTGTTCCACTCCACATCCATGACCTGGACTTACCCAGCAGAGCTGACAGAGGCACCACACTGATCTAACCAGCAAAGCAAAGACCTCCTGAATCCAGAGTTTCTTCCCTTTCCAGAGGGAAGCACCACACGAGGATCCCACCTGGTGAATACTCGGATCTCAGGATGCAGCAATGGGCAGAGCTGGGTGGGATTTACAAGCTTCCAGCCCTTCCACCCAGGCTCACGAGGGGTGTGGGGATCAGAGGGGCTGGAATTCAGCTTCTCTGGAAAGAAACCAGGATCTTAAGGAGTGTTTGGAGTCAGGGTGATGGTCATTCCGATATCCTGGGATAAAGCCTGACAGGTGTGACCTGATGTGAAGGATCTGAACAGCTTCCCCTGCTCAGGGAAGGGCGGCTGCTCCGTGGAGCTGCTCCCTGGGAAGCCAGAGCAGCTCCAAAGCCGTGTCTCCGTGAGCTCCCATCCCGAGGGAAGGTGCAGATACCTCGATGCTTTGAGAGAGCGTTTATTGAGCGTGCAGGGTCCATCCCAACCCCCATCCTGAGGGTGCAATTCCACGGGGGTTCCGCCCCGCTCGCAGGCTGTGTGGGAGCAGGCACGGGGAGAACTGGGAGCACAGCATGCATGTGGGAAGGGGAGGATTCCCCAAAAACGCCAGGAGTGCAGCCATGAATAAATGCAACATGGAACACGACAGGGATCCCAGTGTGACTGAAGGGAGCGTCTCTTTGGTGGAGTTCTGTGCAGCCAAGTTGGATAATAGAGAGAAAATCCCGAGACAAACAACCAACAAATCCCACTATTTCATCCTCAAATTTGCTTTCAGATCTCAAGGCTGGAGGCTGACAGACAGGCACCCCTAACACTATCCCAAAGGGGCTGTGCAGGAGTGCTGGAGGCTGAAATGGGAATGCCCCCCAGGCACAGATCCGTGCTGTGCCGTACCTTCCATCCCCAGGACAGAGATAAGGACGTGTGGAACAGGAACAAAGCCTGGCTGCCAGCCCAGGGTGTCCCACAGGCCACCATGGATCAAGTGCTCTCTGGGGAGTTACACACCAGGGCTGTGCTGATGCTCTTCCCTCTTCCCAGACCATTCCCACAGGTGGAGAACGCGGCAGCTTTGATTGTGAGCACAGAACTGTGAGCCGGGCACTCCCAGGGATCCCGGTGGGAGGAGCGGAGTGCCCGTCCCCTGCTTTGTCACTGTCATTAAACATGGAAGAACCTACCTAAAAAGGGCAATTTCATGGGACTGAAACGCCCCACAGACCTTCCCATACCCCACCACGTCCAGCCAGTGTGTTCCACGCACGTCCTCTGGAACAAACCTGCACTGGGATCCCAGATGGATTTCAGCTGGTACAGACAAACACCCAGCCCCGGGCTGACCCCACAGGGCACCCCAGGGAACAGTCTGAGCAGGTGAAACGTGGGCTCAGTGACCTCCAAACCAGTGGCCCAGGGAGTGCCCCAAATCCATAGGTCCAACACAGAGTCTGCAGGGGGTCAGGCGGAGTCCAGGAGTTCCAGGAGAGCACCGACCGCGCCGAAGTAACCCTGAGGAACAACGGGAACATCCACTGAGAACCGAGACGTGGGCACACACCTGGCACAGCAGCCACAGCCAGGGCATCGTGGGATGGTTTGGGTTGGAAGGGACTTCAAAGATCAGCCAGCTCCAACCCCCTGCCATGGGCAGGGACACATTCCACTAGCCCAGGTTGCTCCAAGCCCCTTCCAGCCTGGCCTTGGGCACTTCCAGGGATCCAGAGGCAGCCACAGCTTCTCTGGCCAACCTGTGCCAGGGCCTCTCCACAGGGCTGCCTCCAGAGCCCCCCGAGGATTTGCATTTTGCCACGAGAGAAAAGAGATTTTGAAAAGGAATTTCACCTCATGTTCCAAGAAAAGTGCTTTCAACTGTCCCTTCGACCAGTAGTCCAGGGCATACGCCAGGAGCCTCATGGAGATGGTGTTGATCCGAAGGAAGTTGCCCACGAACACCACGCGGTTGATGTTCTGCAAGTGATTGGGGGGAAAGAAAGGAGTATTAAAGCTAAATTCCCTCTTCTGCTTGTAGTGATGAAAACCCCATGTGGGGAAGGGGCTGGAGCAGCAGGAGTGGCTGAGGGAGCTGGGGGGGCTCAGCCTGGAGAAAAGGAGGCTCAGGGGGGACCTTCTGGCTCTGCAACTCCCTGACAGGAGGGGGGAGCTGGGGGGAGGTCGGGCTCTGCTCCCAGGGAACAGGGACAGGAGGAGAGGGAACGGCCTCCAGCTGTGCCAGGAGAGGTTTAGGTTGGACATCAGGAGGAATTTCTTCCTAGAAGGGTTGATCAGGCACTGGGAACACCCAGGGCAGTGGTGGAGTCCCCACCCCTGGGGGGATTTAAAATCCCTGTGGATGTGGCACTTGGGGACAGGGGTCGGTGGTGGCCTTGGCAGTGCTGAGGGAATGGTTGGACTGGATGGCCTTAGAGGGCTCTTCCAACCTTAATGACTCTGTGATTCCATGAATTGTCTGCTGAAAGTGTTGTGCAGGGTCTGTGGAACATTAAAAACACCCACAATTCTCTTAGAAAGCAAAGCCAGGTCACTTTAACCAGGCTCTTCTTCACTGCCCAGAAATCCCGGGCTGAACTACAGCCTTCCCACTTCAGGAATTTGAATGGAAAAGTTGATTTTGCTATGAAATCCTTATACTGACTGGGAACAATGACCATCAGGTGCCATCTCCCCTCCCTCCCCTGAACTCCAGCCTTTGACTCATCATTAAATAGCTGAGTGACTCTCTACTGTTAAACTGAAGGAAAAACACTATTTAGAAGCCCATAAACAACACAGTTCTGGAAAAAAAAAAAAGGAAAAGACCAACCAATATATTTAGATTCGAGTCAGACTTCCAGCCTAACTTTTCCATCCCAAAATAGTTCTCTTGAGCCAAGTGATGAGCTTTGAAGTTGCTTGTTCCCCAACAAGAAAATAAAGTCAGCTCAAGGCCATTCAGGAC